CCATCAGTTTAAATTACAAAACTCATTATTCTACCATATATCCGTCCATCTTGAATTGTTATGTTAGGCTCAGTGATTATCTTTAAAATTAGTTGAAGAGCTTGTTTGGTGCTCTTTCAAAAAAAAATTTTTTTTTCTACACTCTTTTGATAACTTTTCGCAACACCTGATATGCCTTATAAATGGTGCAAGTTATTACTATAACACGCCAGAATATGGAAAAGGTGTTTATTAATATAGCGAGGAACAGAACTTAATTTCTTGCAAAATTCCCAGACATCATAATAATCTGTTTCAATAATTTGTAAAAAAGCAATAATCGAAGGTCGTTAGTATTCCTGCCATCTCTTTTGTTCGTTACTTACTCTCCTAACCTTCAATAATCAGTATGACAACTTTTAGAGATGTCTCACAAATTGCCATATTTGTTGAGGATTACACGACATGCTGTGCAACTTACTTCCCGGATGGTAGGTTGGATGTTATATACATTACACACACCGTGTGGTTGCACTAAAAACGTCGAGTCCGAAACTCAGACCCTCTATAGATGGCGTCTAGTTCTCGCGCTGTGGTCTTTAATGTTTGTCTCTTGGGTTCCATGTTATGTCAGTGTGTTATGCACTCTACCACTCTGATTTAGAGTTTAGCCGAAAAGTACTCAGGACCTCAATTTTCCAAATCATATCTTCAGAATACGAAGCTAACCCGAAGACTACTGGCTACTGGCTTCTCCTCCTCCTTAGCAGTATCCTTCTTCACGTCCGCATCTCAGCAACCAGTGGCGGGACCTGATATGAGCAAGCCAAAAAACTTCGATCTCATTGTTCAAGAAGCAGATGCGCTCTACGATAGCTATTTGATTGACAATGCCTACAGTATTTTAAGAAGGTGAGATTAGGTTTGAGAAGTTTATATCGTGCACTAAAATGATTTTTTAGATTTGCTAAAAGCGACTGTTCCGAGCTGCTCTGGCGATTGGCGCGGGTCGTATGTGAGAAAGCCAAGTTGAGGTAACTATATTATTGAAGATAAAACTATGGATAAACTGTTTTTGAAATCTAGCAAATTTTGGCGCCTAACGCTCAAATTATAGTATTTGGGACTTTTAAGATTGTGGAACTGGACAATAGAGATTTGACTTTATGAAGTGAATATTTGTCAAGTTACTGACCCGAAAATTTTTAAAAATTTGATGAACCTTCTTGCATACCATATACATTTCAAAATAATATTTCTATTTCTACGAGTTGGTGTTTTAGTCATGACAAGGACCAGAGGAAAACGCTCATGTATGAAGCCCTAGCACTGGTGGAGAAAGCTATCGAAAAAGAACCCAAAGACGGCTGTTTTGGAGCTCATAAATGGTAAGTGGAAGGACTGCTAATTTTGCTCAAGAGTTTAGAAACTAACGCTTCTGCTTTTACCTTTATAAAGTTTTCAGGTATGCCATATTGCTCGACTATGTTGGAGAGATTGAGGGAAATAAATCACGAATTCAAAAATCTTATATGGTATGGACTTCTTGTCCGTAAATTCCATTCACTACTTTTGGAATACATATCCTTCTTTCAAACGTCATTTTCAAGGTGAAAGAACATCTCGAGCGTGCTTTACAAATTCGCTCTAATGACGCAACAACGTGGCATATTTTGGGTAATTTTGCTTACTAGTATTTAGAGCGAATGAGAGTTTAAGGCAAGATGTAAATTCAGGTGTTTGGCACTTCTCATTTGCTGATATGGGTTACGCTACAAGACTAGTAGCAAAGACAATTTTTGCTTCACCACCCAGTTCTACTTACGAGAAAGCGCTCCATTATTTCCTTAAAGCAGAGGAAATTTCTGTGAGTATTTTAAGGATCTCAGGGATTCCGACCGTCTCTAGATGTTCCATTCAGTGG